TCTTTCAGGTTTCCTCAGTCACCAGCTTTTCTTCTAAGGCTTCCAGTGAAGGCACTAGGTACGTCTTCCGGTAAGTGATGGACAGTGATGACTTTGCAGTTTGGGGGAGAGAAGATATGGGTTCAAAATAATTTGATAAACTTCGCCTGCTTTTACCAGTCCCTTCAGGCAAACTCCTCTATTGCAAATATTTTCTTTAATAGCAAGCAAGAACTAAAACCAACTCTCATCATTTGCATTTTAAAGGTACTTTCATTTTTTTGTTCCTTAGCATAGTCTTTTGTGTTACTTCTGTGTGACTATAATTTTCTCCATTTTAGTTATGTTTTGTTACTTTTCTGTAAAATTTCTGTCTTTAACTTGTTTTTATCATAGGAGTACTTATAAACGCAGGCAGAAAATAACTAATTTGAAAAGCATGACAAGTAGATTGGTGTATATATCATTCCTACTCTATAAGGCTTTTGGTTTAATTATTTCAAGTTTGCAAAAATAAGCTTTTAAAAAAATAAACTGTGAAATACATAGTTGGCTGTGGAGGCTTTTTATAATGTCTTATCAGAAGAAGTTTTACTTTCTGTAGTGTTTGCTTTTTCTACAATACTATAGCTTTACTTTTATACTTACCGTTTTAACACAGAGGAATTGCTTGGAATGTCACTTCTAATTTTAGCTGCCAGTTTGGTTCTTGACTTGATACAGCTAACAGTAGATTTATCCCCCCCTGTCCCCGTCCCCCCCGCCTACAGCAACAAATCTCCTATTGTAAAACCCTTTCATAATGACACATTTCCTCCTCCCTACAATGGTACTTCAAGTCAGATCTACAGGAATGCAAAAATAGCTCAAACATGCCACTCTGTCTGACAGTTTTAAAAGTTTTTCAGTGCTTTCATTTTTTGAAACCTTTTTTTTTTTCTACCCAGTCCAAAGAAAAACAGCAGGCTGGAGTCTGCAATAACGTAGTTACAAATTCCAGTTACAACGCAAGTTACAAATTCACTGCAGATACTTAGAACAACTGAAAAAAGTACCAATTTAATTTCAAATACTGTGTGCTTCCCTCACTGCTGTAGAATGTGTTTTCAGTCTTTATGCTTTCTAACTGCAAAAATAACTTCTCTATGCAACGTATACTTCAGATTGCTCGTGAATCTGGAGCTAGGTACCTGAGCGACAGTTGATGGTTTAATATCATTAAGCTTCCTTTACGTTTAAAGGAGCTGTGTACAGTTATGTAGGTATGAATACGCAGTTAGCAGACACCTGCTCATGTGTTTTGGTATGACTACCACTTATTTCAGTTTTAGGTGTGGACCCCACAGAAACAGGGATGTTGTCACTACTCTGAGTTGAAACTCATGACAGTTACAATGGACAGTAGTGGATTTAGTAGTACAGTAGTACTTTGGATTTATAACAGCATGCTGATAGCAAAGCTTGGCCGATCATTTGGCAAAGCCAATTGAAAGGGTTTCTGCTAATTCTAGGTCTTGGGCACTCTTCTATGTTAGCAGTTTTACTAGGATATTTAAGTTAGATTTATGAATCATTTAATTTCCTCCTCAAATCAGTGTTTTAAAACAATTTCCTGATCTGGGAGGTGATGGGGTGCTTGCAGACTTCATCAGTATTTTAAGAAAGATGTAATAGTTCAAGGCCTAGTTGCTGTTCAGCATTTGGATTGATCCAGTAAGGTTTTTTTATAACAATTATCCAAAATAACCAATGGTAGGAAGAAAAAAACCAATATGTTGGATTGTAACACATTACTACGGATCTGATTTTGATCCTATTTGCCATGAATAAAGACCAAATCATTAGAAGTTACCCTTTTATTAAAATCAAACCCAGAAAAAGAAAATAAAAGCTAGTCAAAATAAGCTCATATTATGCACTTAAAGTAAGAGAGAAATTTTGGATCTCTTCAGATACTGAAAACCAAAGCTGATCTCTATCAGATACGCATAATGGTTCCCTTGATTACAATTTTGTCATTTCATTTATAAATAAATTTCTTGTTAGCTTTTTGTGTGGCAGACAGAGCATAGCTCATCTAAATGATGAAAAGTCTGCAATAATAATAATACTTCTGAAGATCTTTGGTTTTGTGTAAGGATGTGGGAGATATTTTGCAGCAACATGTATTTTCTTTTCTGGCAGCCTTATGCTCTTTCATCTTTTTTTCTTGTTTGTCTTCTCTGTTCGCATACAGAAAAAATAAATGCGTATCCTCTGATCACTGTACTTAATTGTATATCTTGGAAAAGCCTTCAGATTCATCTGAAGTTGCAGCATTGTTTTATTCCAGCTTCCACTGGTGTAGGGAGTGGAGTAACTTGTCTCTAAAGAGGCTCTTGTGCTGCAGCATCTGATGTTTTAAAATGCAGAAAGCTTGAAATACTCTGAACCATCCTCTCTTGTGTTTGTGGTTATGTTGTATGTCAACTGCATTGTGTGACAAACCTTACTAATACAAATTCTTGTTAATGATTTGATAGGGTTTTTTGCTAACCACTTGCCAATTTGTTTGTATTATACGTATGGCTTTCATATAAAAATCCAAATGCCAAGCCTTTAAGTCTTGGCAACTATAGCAAAGTACATGGAAGCTGTGATTCTTCACTCCTGGTCTTTCTGAATACCTGACTTGTCTGAAAGCCATGCAACAGGGTGTTGCTTCTCTTTATATACTGACAGGCTTCCCCTTACTGCAGATGTATGTTTTGGAGGAAATCTTAAATCTAGGGAGTTGTCACATTTGCATGTTTCGTCTGTGGGGCATGAATATCAGCAGAGGAACTATTTTCTGTAGGGACGAAAAGAGGAAAAGTTGTTGGAATTGATTGACTATTTTTTGGACGGAGGCTGGATGGGAGTCTTTCATGTACTCAGAGCTGAGTGTTAAATTGTCTCAGACCTTTGTTAACTTCTGAAATAAACCCCTTCATTTGATCATATCTTTTCTGAAAGATTGCCAGCTCTTGAAGGAATCAGGTTGCACTTGTTCACTTTTCAAGTGAGGGTTATCTGGGAGACTATATTGGTGTTGATATCTAACTTCAAAATCTAAAGAATCAAAATAGTTATCAGCATCATTGCGGTGGAGAACTCTTCCTAATTAGTCTGCTGTTTGTTTTTTGAACTATTATTGCCTATGTTCGCAAGCTGACTTTAGCTGTTGCTTATAAAAACTTCTATTTTACTTTACCTGGTAGAACCTCAAAGAGACCCTCACTCGATAGCACCTGAGAATCGCCTCTGGGTTACCATGTATGCTCGACTTGTTGGATTCTATAAAGAAAAAAGCTCCCAATGTAGCACTTGCATATCTCCCAAAACTCACTGTGCTTTTTCACTACTTTCCCTTTTTTTTAAACCATCAATTAGCTGCTTTTCAGTCTACAGGACAATACGTCCCTTTTAGATCAGCCCACACTGAATAATATTTCAAAGAGGTCAATGTACAAGTGGTTTCTAGAGAAGTCTGGTTGCTTTTTCTTAGTCTATTAAACCTTCATTCTTGACTTCAGGCATATTTCAGTATAACATCATGTGCTTTTTTCCCTGCTCCTCTGTTTTATTTTAACCTTCTGTCACCTTTGGATTTTGGTTTGTGCTTTGATAACTGTGTTTGGAGTATTCATTTGATAAGTTGTAAAAGGTGGGAAGGAGGGACTAAATATAGACTTTCTCAAGGAAATCCTTGTTAGACTTTCTGAAACGTTACCTGTTTGTTACTCTTCAGTCTTACTGTAGTCTTACAGTCTTACTGTATTAAATTTTCACTTTTGTACTCATGAAAGACAATGGTATTACCAGGTAAGTAAAGGGTCTTTTTGTGAGAAAACGCAGGATCAAGCCATCCATTTAAAAGCGAACATGAAAGTCTTGGCAAAAAGTTTTGAGTCTGATTCTGGCAGACTAAATAACGTGGTATAAATGCAGAGAAAGAGATAGACAAGAAAACTTGTGTATATTAAACAGGTGTTATAAATATGAACATTTTAATGAAGTTATTCATTAAGTGTCAACTATGTGGAACTAAAGTTCAGGCTTTTGATAAAACTGGTTTACAATATGAAGAAGTTTTCATCTTTAGGATCGCTTGGAATAAAGAAGTACTGGAGGAAGGAATGTTGAAATAAGAATTTACATTAATCCGTGCAGAATATCACTGAAGTAGAGAATGAGCTCTGCAACATTCATGTTGGGAACCTGCAATGAGGAAGTGTATGGGTGCATGTTCTAAGGGTTATTTGTTACCAGATAGATGTTAAGGATAAAAAATGGATAATAGAAGTTTTAAGGGAAAAAAGATTAATTCTGAGGGAGTGATTGATAGCTTCACTCTTCTGAAAAATGAGTCACACTTACTAAACTAGAAGAAGAGTCTGCATCTTCTCTGCAGAGCGCTCACAAAAAATGATAGTGGTAATTTGTATCATATTGCACTCTGCAATATGTCCATATCACTTAATGTCATTTGAATTGCATAGCCAGAGACAACGTTCAAAGTTTCAAGTGATGATAAAGAAATCCCTTTTAAATAAAAATTGAAGAGAAATGCCTCCTGTAAGATTGCATGTTATTTTGTTCGCTTGAAAGTATCCTACTCTTGAATAGAATCTGACATTTGATTCAGCCTTATTAGTAAATATGGAAGGTGGAATGAGCTGGGCTTGCCTGGTTTGCTTAAGAATGAGGTGGCACCTAAACTTTTGAATACCTGCAATATGAAAAAACCCTAACTACTGAGTTCCTTTTTTACTTAGTTTCCTGTGTGGTCTTTTCTAACAGTTAATTCCCATTACAGCTCATTGAGCTGAAGTAGGATGTCACAGATCTGTAATTAAAGAATGTCTGTATCCATCTGCCTAGTGACTATTATGCTTTGTTGTCTCTATATCTACATGTTGCGTTGGCTGTGAACAGCCAAACAGAAGGACTTCCCAGTCAGGTTCCAGATCCTCATGTTTTGTCATCTTTATGTCTCACAGAGTTCTGAAGCCTTGGAAGTGGTAATCCTGGAGCGCTGCTGGATTGTGGAGTTCAGGAGTAAAACAGATGTTTCAATAGTTCTCAGTAAGTAAGACATAGCTCAGTGTGTTCAGTGTGAATTTTTTATTTCTGTCAATAAAAATGACAACAAAACCCCCCAACCACCCAGGCATTGAAACTTTGCTAAAAACTTAGCTAAAAATACATCCTGTTGTCTGTTACATGCATACATCTAAATACTGCTTGTCTCTGAATTCATGCCTAAAAAGAAAATCCTAAAAGCTGTTGTTTTACTTATTCTAAAATCAAGTGAAAGTCATATGTCATCTTCTTCCTCTGACAATAAATAGAAGTTTAAGGTTCTGTTTTGTTAGGTATTTTGTACAATATGGGTTTTGTGTTGTTGCATAGCCAATTCATCTTATTCTTGAATGATTAATCATTGCCAACCTCCCTATTAAATGAGGGGTTTCCTGTTTTAGTCACCTCCTATCGATTCTTCATTTATAAAATTGTTAAAACCAGTAGAAAAAAATCAGTTATTGCATAGAAATCAGAATCATTATTTTAGTGGAAAGATTTTATTTGGAGAAAATGCTGACATAGAGTTTCCTCTGTAGGAACAACTCAAATAGCCATTGTGTTAGAAATTTTTTGTGATGTGGATTCTTTCTGATACCACTGCAGATTTTTGAAGTCCTTAGATCAATTTGCCATTTTCTGTTAGCTGTAATGGTCTAAGAGCAGTTTTGGTAGGCTACTAAAACTAGCTACAGGGGAAAAAAGGTTATGCTGTATTTGTGGGCTTGATGGTCAGCTTTACATCTAGTAGAAGATCCTACCTTCTTTTTTCTATACTCACCAAAATCTCCAGTCCACTTCAAGGGAAATGTTGTATTAATTATACTAACTTCTGTCCTCAGCTGCTGAAATGATTGTTAGTGTTTGTTCACATTTGAGAAGGTAGTGACTTAAAAGGTATTCATTGTGGGTTTTATCCTTTTCTGGGTGGTATTCTGGGGAATAGCTCAAATCCTGCATCTTTAGTAGTGGAATTAAATTTTATGTCTTGTGCCTGATGTTGAGGCACTGCATCAAAAAGGACTTATTTCTGGATTTGGAAGCATTGCTTTTCCTAACTATAACAGCTGAATGATTACCGTTGACTCTCACATTGAGACTTTTCTAATTATGTTCTTATTGAGTCTAATTCATTGATTGGAATCATCAGCTTTATGAGGTGGTGATGTTACAGTTTGAGTATACAGTCCTCTCAGTTCCCTTCTGGCACTTCTTTTACAATGCTTGGACATAATGCAACTGAACTGAACCAAGAATACAATTGTAATCGCTGACAGGACTCTTTCAATTAGCTTTGAAGACTGCAAGCAGGACAGTTTCTGTGGCAGTGAGACTGGCAGGTTTTAAGTCCAAAAGCTGGGGAAGTAGACAACAATGAATACTGAGTAAGCACTTCAGGCTGCCTGTGGAGAGAAAGAGGCTGTTAATGTGTGGAGAAAGAAATACGCTTGCATAGTTAGGAACAGAAATTGCTAGCTGAGAGACAGATTTTTCAAAACAAAGTTTTTGAGGGTCAGTAGTGTGGTTAGAGGTAAGGGTGGCATTCTGACCAGCCTCTAAAAATATATTAAAGGAGAAAAGATGAAACAGTACAGAAGACTCTAGGTATGCAGAGCCAACAAATGATGATGAGTGCCTGGGGCACGACCAAAGGAATACAACAGAAGATGGAAGAAGAGACAGATAGGTAGAGGAGAAATGGATTTCAAACTTGGCAGTTTCCTGTGCCAGAGAACAAGGACAACAGCCTGGCTTTGTCCTGATGATTTGTTGGTGTATTGGGTTTGTGTGGCGGGGTTTTGGTAGAGGGGGAGGGGCCGCAGGGGTGGCTCCTGTGAGAAGCTGCTAGAACCTTCCCCAGCTCCAAGTCAGACCCGCCCCTGGCCAAGGCTGGCCCAGTCAGCGATGGTGATAGTGTCTCTGGGATAACAGATTTGAGAAGGGAAACCTGCAGCAAAAAAGGGGTGAGTGGAATGTGAGAGGAACCCCTCTGCAGACAGCAAGGTCAGTGAAGGAGGGGGAGGAGGTGCACTGGGGGAGGGGATGCCCCTCCAGCTGTTCCTCCCCTCAGCCCATGGAGAGGAGCAGGGGAGCAGATTCCCACCTGCAGCCCAGGGAGGTGCCCACACTGGAGCAGGGGGATGCCCCCCAAGATGGCCGTGACTCCGCAGGAAAGCCCGTGCTGGAGCAGTCTGTGCCTGAAGGACTGCAGCCTGTGGAAAGGACCCATGCTGGGAGCAGTTCATGAAGAGCTGCAGCCTGTAGGAGGGACCCCACGCTGGAGCAGGGGAGGAGTGAGGAGTCCTCCCCTTGAGGAGGAAGGAGTGGCAGAGACAAGGTGTGAGGAACTGACCCCAACCCCCATTCCCTGTCCCCCTGCGCTGTTGGGGGGAAGAGGCAGAGAAAACTGGGACTGGAGTTGAGCCCAGGAAGAAGGGAGGAGTGGAGGAGGAAGTGTTTTAAGATTTAGTTTTACTTTTCATTATCCTGTTTTGATTTGATTTGTAGTAAATTAAATTTTTTTTGTTTTTCCCCAAGTTGAGTCTTTTTTTTTTTTTTTTTTCCCCATGACCATAATTGGTGAGTGATCCCTCTCTGTCCTTGTCTCAAACCACAAGCTTTTCTTTATATTTTGTCCTGCCCATCCCACCAGGGAGGAGGAGTGAGCAGGCGGCCTTGTGGTGCTTTGTTGCCGGCTGGGCTTAAACCATAACAGTTGGATGGGAAAAAAAAAAGAAAGCCAGACTACTATGAGGTATTAGAACAAAACCGAAGACAAATGAAGATCTTACAGCATCTACTGAGTGAGGATAAAATACCAAAAGAAGTGAAATAATAATCCATGTACTGTAGGGGAGAACAAAATTCAGAAGACAAAACAGGAAAAAAGCAAAACTCGGGAACTAAGAAGAGAGATCTTTGTCAATGGGGGCTTCGATCATGAAAATCTAGCTGCGTTGTCACAAGAATATATCTATTGGCCATTGGGAGCCAAAAAAAGCTCTAAAATGTTTATCTGGGCCTTTAAAGGATTCAGGTGGAAGCAGGTTGGAAGGGCATACCTGCTCACAATGTCAAATTCCTTGTGGAAGAGAGGGAGGAGAGCTCTGCCAGAACACAGCAGAAGCTCCAAGGAAGGAGGCAGAGTTGATCTGTGAGATTTGACTTGTGGTGTGGCTGGGAAGGGACATTTTTGTCATCTTGCAGGCTGCAAGATGAAGAAAATCAGCTAGGGGTTCAACTTGGAACCATGAGGAGGGTTTTTGGAGTGAGCTTTTGGCCAGTTGTCTCCATCTTTCTCTGAGTGGTGGGCTGAATCCTAGGAGACGTGAATAAGAAATGGAGACTAACTGGGATATCTATGAAGAGAAAGTAATAAAGGGCAGTGGAGTAAACATGGAAGGGAAAAACAAGGATGTTTTCATGCAACATCTAGTGATATTGTGGAGCTGATCATTGCCTCAGGGTAGTGTGGGCACTGAAACACGAGGGGAGTACAGAAGAGGTCAGGCAGTTGCAGAAGATAATCCTGTCAGTGCTTCAAGTGCAGTGCTCCCAAAGCAGCCTAGCTCAAAAGGTTTCTAAGCGGACCGTGAAAGGCAACAGAAGGAATTGTTAGGTGAACTATCATTCTGTATGTGGCTGGTTGCTTGCATGCCCTCATAACATGAACTATTAGCGGAACAGATCAGACACTGGTGTGAGATGGATCAGATTGAATGTGGCAGTTCACACGAGTGTGATTCATTCCTGAAATCCTGGAAGGTGTGATACAGAGAGCATTTCAACCCTTTTGTCTGAAAAGATCTTAAACCTGGAAACAGCTGCTGTGCAGTGAAATGTTTGAACAATGCAATGTTAACTGCCTTGCCTTGGATTCTCCTCAGGAACAACCACCTTGTTCGCGCCATCTAAGCTTGCACCTTGTACAATACAGGCAGGCGTTGTAGCCTCCCCAGTCACAGAAATATATAATCGTAGCTATTTAGAGAATAGCTGCATCTCTGCTGGACCTTGGAAACCCTGTTAAAGGTGGTTACTCTGCTGGGTTTATGTGCCCAGGTGCTGGCACAGGGGGCTGCAGGATGGCCTCTGTGAGGAACGGCTGGGGCTGCCCGGTGCTGGGCTCAGCCGGCTCCAAGCGACCCACCGCCGGGCACAGCTCGGCCCCTCGGCCCTGCTGCTGGCACCTTGAGGAAAGCATATTTCAGAAAGTGTAAAACACTGCCCAGCAGTGAGGAGTGAGGGGGAAAAAAGTGTGAGAAACAGCCCTGCGAGCACCAGAGTGCGAGCAGATGGAGGCAAGGAAGAGGTGATCTGGGCGCCTGAGCAGAGATCGCCCTGCAGCTCCTGGGGAGACCCCAGTGGAGCAGGTATTTCCCTGCAGCCTGTGGAGGGACCACGCTGCAGCCAGGGGTAAAGTGTTGAGGAGGAAGGAACAGCAGAGAGGAGCTGTTACAGATTGACCATAACCATGCCGCTTGGGATGTGGGGAAGGTAGAGGAGTCAGAAGTGAAGTTGAGCCTGAGAAAAAGAGGGGAGTGGATGGGGGGGGGAAAGGGTCTTTGTTTCTCCCTAGTCAGCACTCTTTCAATTTGCAATAAATTAAATTATTTGTCCCACAGGATGAGTCTGGTTTGTCCATGATGGTAATTGCTAAGTGATCTCCCTGACTTTATCTCAACCCATGAGCTGCTGCTGCTTTTCTCCCCCAGCCCTTGAAGAGGGGGAGTGAGCGAGCAGCTGGGTGGGTGGCTGTTAGCCAGCCAAGGTCAACACACCACGGTTAATTTGCATCCCGTGTTTTTCTTGAAGTGTTTTGTCCACTTCCAGATGTGTCAGTCTTTGAGCAGAAGATGCAGAAAGAGGCAACCAGGAACAAAAAGCTGTGTTAATGTTGGCAGTTTTCGATTACTGTTAAGTTTCTCTGGAATAGGGCAATTAGAGCCGTGTGGCTAGATATTTGAACTTCTCCCGAGAGCAATCTGAAGTTGACCACTGTG